AAAATTCAATTCAATTCGACTTGATTTAAATTTTATAAATTCAAATTGAAAAAATTTCGAGTCAACTATTTTATAAACTGAACTGAATTACAATAAAATAATTTTATAATATGATAAATATTTATAATTAAATTTAAACAGAAACTGGAAAATTCAATTCAATTTGAATTGATTTAAATTTTATAAACTCAATTAAAAAAATTTCGAGTCAACTATTTTATAAAACTGAATTGAGTATTTAGATCTAACATAACCCTAAACCCAACATAATCACTTATTGTTCACTTATAGTTGATTAATTTTTTCCGAAACGGTTATGTTTTGAGAGGGTTTAGGATTGTTGCTTCAAGTTTAGTTTGTTATGGCAGATTTTGAGAATGAATTGTGAATTTGGGGTTGGGGTTGGGGTTGGGCATGTAATTGAAGTATTTTGGAAGTTGAGGTTTAGAATGTAATTGAAATATTTTAGATTTTGGGGTTTAGAATGTAATTGATGATGTGTTGCAAGTTTTAAAAGTTGGGGGACCTAAATGCAAGCGCCTGAAAAGTTTAATGACCATTTATATAATTTACCCTAACGGCAGTAAAACGGTCGTTACATCAAGGACCATATTGCAAATGAACTAAATATTTGGTGATTGTATTGCAAGTTTTAAAAATTGGGAGACCTAAATGCAAACATCTAAAAAGTTCAGTGACCATTTATATACTTTACCCGTAAAATATATAACTTCGTCCAGACAGACAAAGGGAAAAGCTCCAAATGTTGATAGGCTCACTGTATTTATGGTCCAATCCAATAGGCTCGACTTGATAGCATAACAGATGGATGAATTTTTTTTTAGCTCTTAGACATTGACTTAAACATCAGAAGTTATTCAGAGATGCCATGGCCAATGCGGTCCTTAGTTTGCAGAGGTTCATTCAGAAAGCAAGACAGATAAGGAAAATGAGAAAATCTTTCCTTGCTTTCTTCATGTTGAATCAAACCAATATAGAGAAAATACTTGGAGAAATGATGGAAAATGACTTTTTTTTCTCAGAACTGTTAACAGATAAATGCATTGTAACGACTTGAGGGGCGAACACTGTGCCTGACATAGAAATTTCACCTTTTTTTCTTTACTGATTCCAAATAGGAGATTTATTTACAATTGGAGCAGGAAAAATTTCATTACAACGGTGATTGAAAGAGAGGTGGCAATGGGCGTTGTCCTCAATTTCCCCCACAAAGAGAGATGTAGAATACATGAAAAAGGACTCAGGTGTTCCACTATGACAGTGATCCCCCCATATAGTAACAGTTCAACGCATGTGCAAAAGCTACAACACCCTCTCTTTTACCTTTCATTTTTTCTAACATCCCATTTACCACGATTTTCACATAAATAGCTTCTCAATTAAATACAATACATAATTTCCTATCTTTAGTTTTTAATTTCTTCCCACACCAAAGAGCAAATCAATTCTTAGTCCATTACAGGCTACAAAGTCTAGCACAAATAACACAATACCATCCAACAACATACCCCACCAACTATAATCCATTCCACATGAAACGTTTTTTTCACATCATTTATCCTTTTGGGGTTTTATTTCAAGGCATTGGAAAAGAGAGTGATATAATTCCATTGTAGTATGAATATGTTTTTTTCCTTATCCACATCATGAGTGTTCTTTTAAGTAAATGGTCATTGAACTTTTCAGGCGCTTGCATTTAGGTCTCCCAACTTTTAAAACTTACGACACAGACATCAATTACATTGTAAACCCCAAATTTCAAAATACTTCAATTACATTCTAAACCTCAAATTCCAAAAATAGTTTAATTACATGCCCAATCCCAAATTCATAATACATTCTCAAAATCTGCCATAACAAACTGAACTTGAATCAGCAACCTTAAACTCTTAAAACATAACCCTAAATGCTAAATTTCCACACCAATTAACCCAACATAATCAACAACATTTAGTTCATTTTGGGTCCATAATAATAAGTGATTATGTTGGGTATAGGATTTAAAAGTTAGATTTAACCAACTATAAGTGATTCAAAAATTTATTTTTTGACTTGAATTGATTCAAAAATTTTGATACAAATTGACTAAGTTGTAATTTCATAAACTCGACTTAAAAAAAATTCAAGTTAAAACCGAGTTGTAAAATACAACTCGAATATCTCAAAAGTTTTAGTAATTAGTGGATTAATTTTTAAGTTTGAGTCAAGTCCCTTGTCTCTGTATGATATATGTATATAACATATGGAAAATATGAAGAAATATATGTATTGTATATGGTTAAAAAACTATTTAAATTAGAATCAAATAATATTATAGTATTATAAATATTTATAATTAAATTTAAACATAAACTCAAAAATTCAATTCAATTCGACTTGATTTAAATTTTATAAACTCAAATCGAAAAAATTTTGAGTCAACTATTTTATAAAATGAACTGAATTAGAATCAAATAATATTATAATATGATAAATATTTATAATTAAATTTAAACAGAAACTGGAAAATTCAATTCAATTCGAATTGATTTAAATTTTATAAACTCAATTAAAAGAAATTCGAGTCAACTATTTTATAAAACTGAATTGAGTATTTAGATCTAACATAACCCTATACCCAACATAATCACTTATTGTTCACTTATAGTTGATTAATTTTTTTCGAAACGGTTATGTTTTGAGAGGGTTTAGGATTGTTGCTTCAAGTTTAGTTTGTTATGGTAGATTTTAAGAATGAATTATGAATTTGGGGTTGGGGTTGGGCATGTAATTGAAGTATTTTGGAAGTTGAGGTTTAGAATGTAATTAAAATATTTTGGATTTTGGGGTTTAAAATGTAATTGATGACTGTGTTGTAAGTTTTAAAAGTTGGGGGACCTAAATTCAAGCACCTGAAAAGTTCAATGACCATTTATATAATTTACCCTAACGACAGTAAAACGGCCGTAACATCAAGGACCATATTGGAAATGAACTAAATGTTTGGTGATTGTTTTGCAAATTTTAAAAATTGGGAGACCTAAATGCAAACATCTAAAAAGTTCAGTGACCATTTATATACTTTACCCATAAAATATATAAGTTCGTGTAGAGAGACAAAGGGAAAAGCTCCAAATGTTGATTGGCTCACTGTATTTATGGTCCAATCAAGTAGGCTCGACTTGATAACATAACAGATGGATGAAATTTTTTTAGCTCTTATACATTGACTTAAACATCGGAAGTTATTCAGAAATGCCATGGCCAATGCGGTCCTTAGTTTGCAGAGGTTCCTTCAGAAGGCAAGACAGATAAGGAAAATGAGAAAATCTTTCCCTTGCTTTCTTCATGTTGAATCAAACCAATATAGAGAAAATACTTGGAGAAATGATGGGAAATGACTTTTTTTCCCTTAGAACTGTGAACAGATAAATGCATTGTAACGACTTGAGGGGGGAACACAGTGCCTGCATAGAAATTTTACCTTTTTTTCTTTACTAATTCCAAATAGGAGATTTATTTACAATTGGAGTAGGAAAACATTTCATTACAACAATGATTGAAAGAGAGGTGACAATGGGCGTTGTCCTCAATTTCCCCCACAAAGGGAGATGTAGAATACATGAAAAAGGACTCAGGTGTTCCACTATGACAGTGATCCCCCCATATAGTAACAGTTCAACGCATGTGCAAAAGCTACAACACCCTCTCTTTTACCTTTCATTTTTTCTAACATCCCATTTACCACGATTTTCACATAAATAGCTTCTCAATTAAATACAATACAGATTTTCCTATCTTTAGTTTTTAATTTCTCCCCACACCAAAGAGCAAAGCAATTCTTAGTCCATTACAGGCTACAAAGTCTAGCACAAATAGCACAATACCATCCAAAAACATACCCCACCAACTATAATCCATTCCACATGAAACATTTTTTTTCACATCATGTATCCTTTTGGGGTTTTATTTCAAGGCAATGGAAAAGAGAGTGATATAATTCCATTGCAGTATGAATATGTTTTTTTCCTTATCCACATTATGAGTGTTCTTTTAATTAAATGGTCACTGAACTTTTTAGGCGCTTGCATTTAGGTCTCCCAACTTTTAAAACTTGCAACACAATTATTAATTATATTGTAAACCCCAAATTTCAAAATACTTCAATTATATTCTAAACCTCAAATTCCAAAAATACTTCAATTATATGTCCAATCCTAAATTCATAATACATTCTCAAAATTTGCCATAACAAACTAAACTTGAATCAGCAACCTTAAACTCTTAAAACATAACCCTAAATGCTAAATTTCTCCACCAATTAACCCAACATAATCAACAACATTTAGTTCATTTTGGGTCCATAATAATAAGTGATTATGTTGGGTTTAGGATTTAAAAGTTAGATTTAACCAACTATAAGTGATTCAAAAATTTATTTTTTGACTTGAATTGATTCAAAAATTTTGATACAAATTGACTGAGTTGTAATTTCATAAACTCAACTTAAAAAAATTCAAGTTAAAATCGAGTTGTAAAATACAACTCAAATATCTCAAAATTTTTAGTAATTAGTGGATTAATTTTTAAGTTTGAGTAAAGTCCCTTGTCTCTGTATGATATATGTATATAACATATGGAAAAAATATGAAGAAATATATGTAATGTATATGGTTAAAAAACTATTTAAATTTGAATCAAATAATATTATAGTATTATAAATATTTATAATTAAATTTAAACAGAAACTCAAAAATTCAATTCAATTCGACTTGATTTAAATTTTATAAACTCAAATCGAAAAAATTTCTAGTCAACTATTTTATAAACTGAACTGAATTAGAATCAAATAATATTATAATATGATAAATATTTATAATTAAATTTAATCAGAAAGTGGAAAATTTAATTCAATTCGAATTGATTTAAATTTTATAAACTCAATTAAAAAAATTCGAGTCAACTATTTTATAAAACTGAATTGAGTATTTAGATCTAACATAACCCTAAACCCAACATAATCACTTATTATTCACTTATAGTTGATTAATTTTTTTCCGAAACAGTTATGTTTTGAGAGGGTTTAGGATTGTTGCTTCAAGTTTAATTTGTTATGGCAGATTTTGAGAATGAATTATGAATTTGGGGTTGGGGTTAGGCATATAATTAAAGTATTTTGGAAGTTGAGGTTTAGAATATAATTGAAACATTTTGGATTTTAGGGTTTAAAATGTAATTGATGACTGTGTTGCAAGTTTTAAAAGTTGGGGGACCTAAATGCAAGAGCCTAAAAAGCTCAATGACCATTTATATAATTTACCCTAACGGCAGTAAAACGGTCGTTACATCAAGGACCATATTGGAAACGAACTAAATGTTTGGTGATTGTTTTACAAGTTTTAAAAATTGAGAGACCTAAATGCAAACATCTAAAAAGTTCAGTGACCATTTATATACTTTACCCATAAAATATATAAATTTGTGCAGGGAGACAAAGCGAAAAGCTCCAAATGTTGATTGGCTCACTGTATTTATGGTCCAATCAAGTAGGCTTGACTTGATAACATAATAGATGGATGAATTTTTTTTAGCTCTTAGACATTGACTTAAACATCGGAAGTTATTCAGAGATGCCATGGCCAATGCGGTCCTTAGTTTGCAAAGGTTCATTCAGAAGGCAAGACAGATAAGGAAAATGAGAAAATATTTCCCTTGTTTTCTTCATGTTGAATCAAACCAATATAGAGAAAATACTTGGAGAAATGATGGAAAATGACTTTTTTTTTCTTAGAACTGTGAACAGATAAATGCATTGTAACGACTTGAGGGGGGAACACTGTGCCTGACATAGAAATTTCACCTTTTTTCTTTACTGATTCCAAATAGGAGATTTATTTACAATTGGAGCAGGAAAACATTTCATTACAACATTGATTGAAAGAGAGGTGACAATGTGCATTGTCCTCAATTTCCCCCACAAAGGGGGATGTAGAATACATGAAAAATGACTCAGGTGTTCCATTATGACAGCGATCCCCCCATATAGTAACATTTCAACGCATGTACAAAAGCTATAACACCCTCTCTTTTACCTTTCCTTTTTTCTAACATCCCATTTACCACGATTTTCACATAAATAGCTTCTCAATTAAATACAATATAAATTTTCCTCTCTCTAGCTTTTAATTTCTCCCCACACCAAAGAGCAAAGCAATTCTTAGTCCATTACAGGCTCCAAAGTCTAGCACAAATAACATAATACCATCCAACAACATACCCCACCAACTATAATCCATTCCACATGAAACATTTTTTTCACATTATTTATCCTTTTGGGGTTTTATTTCAAGGCATTAGAAAAGAGAGTGATATAATTCCATTGTAGCATGAATATGTTTTTTCCCTTATCCACATTATGAGTGTTCTTTTAAGTAAACTTTGAACCAAATTGTTGGGATTGAAGTGCTTAAAATATGTACAACAGAGCTAATTCATACCTCAAAGCCCTTATCTCATATGTATCATTGTTCATTCTTGGAAGGTTTCAACAACCAATTATGGCAGTACCTTTTAACTTGTCATTGGATTGTCCTTGTGAGCTTGCATTTTGAAATAAAGATGGTGTCTTTATAATTTAGGCTACATAACTTCAAGAGCTTCGAAGACTTTTGCTTCAGGACAGGATTGCAACTGCTCTGAATCACGAGAAGCAGCTTTGTTGCTAAACCGGCTTCTACCGCAACCAAAGAGCATTCCTCAAGGGCAAGTTTACATATAGACCACAGAATTGATAATGCATACTGAGTATAGCTTTCTGAAACCCTAATCAAAAGTCTCACCATATTTGGAATTGTGTTTCCGCAATCCTTCAATGCCTCTTTGCCTTCCGGCAGAGAAGATAATGTCTATAATATGAAAAGGGCTAATTCCAAGCAATCAGGCTCCAAAGCAGGCAACAATTCAACCAATTGAGGAACGACTCCAATACTCACAGTAAAACTCATGACTTGTTTATGTAAGCATATAGATCTGAGCAAGCTAAGTCCGAGCATGATTCCATTTGAGTGCCTCTTATTTTTCACTAAGCACATTAGACCAACCAATAGGCGATGGCTGGAGATGCTCTCAGAGCAAAATTCCTTCTCCTCCATTAACTTCTCTATCAATCGCGTACAATTGATCTTAGTCTCCACTGACCCTTCATTTATCATATCTACCATCAATGAAATCTTTGTTGGCTGCATCAAATTGGTTTTGGACTCTGAATCAAGCTCCAAATTGACAAGAATGACAATTGCTTCGGAACCAACAACATGGGACGTAAATGGACCTAACAATGATGAAATTAGAGAAACTCCACCTCCATCAACCACCGTCTTGATTGCAGTAGTATGCAATGCCATAACTTGCTTCAGCTCCTTCAAGGCTTGAATCCTAGCTTGACCCTTAGCTTTCTTTGATGTCTGAAGAAGATCACTTACTCTTCCTTGTACATCCTTGGATTTCTTCTTCATAAGCGAGTACTTCTGTGAAAACCAAGTGCAAATCAAAAGATAAAGGGTTCTATTTGGAGTTATAGAATCATCCCAAAGTTCCTGCATTGTAGTGGGGCAAGTATAGTTCCCCAAATTGAACCATTTAAGAATATTGGACCTCTCATAAGTTTAGCTAGTGCAAAGAGTAACAGGGTCTTGCATTGGCTCAAGTGATATTGGACAAATAAACACAGAAGGAACCTCAGGTAAATCAAGCTCCTCAATCATTGTCTTCAAATCCAATTTCTCACCAACGGCAGCACTAATGACTCCACCGACAACAACACCACCCAATGACTCCACAGCAGTATCCAGGTCTAGAACTTGCCCATCACCACTACCATCAAATCCAACGATAATAACCCCGTTCTCTTTAAGGGTTGGAATATTGGCATCTTTGAAACCCACCTTTTTTCCAAAATATTAAAAAAAACAACACGGATTGTCAAGGAACCAAAAAAATGAAGTTTTTTTTAAAACCCTCCACCACTACCCCGAAAGAAACTCTAGATCCACTTCACTTGCAAGCACCATTCAACCTACACTACGAAAAAAAGAAAGGAACATGGTGTCTTTCTACTCAATTCTTCTCTCATTGACAAATCATAAATAAAAAAAACTTCTTTTTTCTTCACCGCCTACAAGCTCACATATATGTATCTCACTACCATGCTCATTTCCCTTTGCTTTATCCTGATCTCTTTTCTATGGTCAAAAGTTACTCATTTTACAATCATCATAATGACAATAATATCACTAATAAACACATAATAATCAAGCTCCCATCTTTCACTTATTTATAAGCTTCACGAAAGAGAAAAAGGGTTTGTTGGGAATCATCCAGTCCCCAAAATAGCAAAAATAAGGAAAAGAAAGAAAGAAATATACTACTTAAGAAAGCAGTCAAAGATCAACAGTTAAAAATAGTACAAAAGCTAATCAAATAGCCCTCTTACACTAAACCCAACCAAAAATAGTACAGAGATTTAGGGAAAATGAAAAGAAAAAACACCCAGATAGCAAAACATGAAAATATTTCACTATTCAGTGAAGATTATTAAGAAAATTAAGTTATTTTCAAAGATGCCTTACCAGAAAATAGAGAGAAAAAGAAGAGAGGCAGAAGAACAGAGAAAAGAAATGTCTTGCAAAGGCCTTCTTTTGGGGCGGTTGTTTGTTGGATTAATTTTTTTTTTAAAATACACGAAAATTTATTAAAATTAAGGGTAAAGTATAGTAATGGCCACTAAACTTTTCTAAAGCTTTCATTTAGGTCCCTAACTTTTAAAACTTGTAATACAGTCCTCCAACATTTAGTTCGTTTATAATATGGTCCCCAACGTTACACTGCCGTTAGTACGTTTGCAATATGGTTACTGAACTTTTCAGGCGCTTGCATTTAGGTCCCCTAACTTTTAAAACTTGCAAGACACTCCTTAATTTTATTCTAAACCCCAAATTCCTTTTTGATTTCGAATTTTCTTTTTCACTTATCTCTTCTCATTTCCAGCGTAACTTTTCAGTCGGGGATGCATGGGAAATTCTAATCTAACTTTGAATTATGTGGAGGTGTTGATTTGAATAAGGGTCTATTTAGAGAAGACTCGACCAAGGTAAAGCATAGATGTTCGATGAAATGCTTGTAAGAAAAAAAATGGGGTTAGAAATGCAAAGTTGACAAATACTACTAAGATGAACTAAGTATCATTGTTGAAAGTCACCAACAAAGTTGGAATTATTTTGTATAAATGACATATAATAATTTATTCGTTTAATCCTTGTGGTTAAATATTTTCCAACAGATGATAAAATATAATGAAATCCCAAATAGCGCATTAACCTCTCAGTCTCTGTCGCGACTTGAAAGGCATCATGACCAGGTCAAGTAGTTGCTCCAAATATACTACCCTGTTATGATGTATTTCGAGTTGCGTGCATATAGAATTGTCTTCTAAAGCTATAATTCAATACAATTCAACTGTAAAATTTCTAAAACATGTAAAAAAATCCAATTCGTTCACGATATATTAGTCCCATAATCAATATGAACTTATTAAAAAAGAATATGAGCTCACATGACGCCGAAAACCATAGGTCGGAACAATACAATTCCTAATAAACTAGTACCAACAGTCTCTCGGATTGAGCCTGGCGATTTCACTATGTCAATACTCACAACCAATTCCCTGATTTAAAGAAAATCCAAACAAAAAGATAAAAAAATTTAGCCTATAACCGTCTTTCACTTCTATTCTGATGGGATGAATATCTTTAATAAGGAGTACTAAAAGTTTTGATTAAAAATAAAGAAAGAAAATTAGATGGTTTGGTTCAAAACTAACATTGAATATCCATATCATTGATATGCAGTTCTAGAAACATAAAATTTTCAACAAAAAACATATAATGCAAGCTGAAAATGGGAAAGTGCTAAAGAGGAAAAGCTTAATTCCGGATAGCCCAAAAGAGAAAATAAATACCTTCTTGCAAGTGAGGGGAGAGGCTAAGAAATAAACGCAATCGGTGTTGCGTTCCATCAATTCTTCCCCCATTTTTTCTTTGTAAATAAAAAGCTGAAAGACAGAGCACTGCTTGGGTTTACAGTTTTACATGGCGAAAAATTGAAGAACAAAAACCAAACGAAAGTGCATGTGAGCGAAAGAGACTGAGAGGTGAATGAGTTGTTTGGGATTTCATTATATTTGATAATCTGTTGGAAAATCTTTAACCACAATGATTAAACGAATAAATTATTATATGTCATTTATACAAAATAATTTCAGCTTTGTTGGTGACTTTCAACAGTGATATTTAGTTCATCTTAGTAGTATTTGTCAACTCTGCATTTATAACCCCATTTTTTTCTCACAAGCTGTAGATGCTTGATTTATCCGGATAATTCATTACCTACCCTAAATTATTCACCTACTTCAACCAAATTTTACCCACCCTAAATGTTATTATCCCACAGAAAAAAAGAGAAGCATGCAACCACTTTAAGGAGATTGATGAGGGGAGACTAACGTGGGGGGCCATCAAGAAAAAAGAAAACAAATTTGTTTGTAAAGGTCTCTCTCTTTCCTGGAGATGGAAGAAAAAAGAGGAAAAAGTCAATTAATCATACCTAAACTTATCAAAACTTCACCAAATGCAAGGAAATTAAGATGCAAAAGGACAAGTGGGATTCAGTGGAAATGAAATAAAGAAGGGGGCTCGTGGGAGGAGAGACCATAGACATAGAGGAGGCCAAAACGTGAGAGGCAGGAGAAAAAAAAAATAGAAAACAACACTTCTCGTAATCTGTCGGATTCTCGCCGGAGATCAGGATCTCTGATCAATATTCCGAACGGTCAAAAGTTGCGGAAGGCCATCACGAACAACATATTGAAAAATCAGGACGATCAGACGGTGGACGGTGACAAATCGGAGAAAACAAATCCGGGTGGTTTTTAGCCTCTTGCCGTTGATCGGAATATTTGATCAATATTCCGAACGGTCAAAAGTTGCGGAAGGCCATCACGAACAACATATTGAAAAATCAGGACGATCAGACGGTGGACGGTGACGGATCGGAGAAAACAAATCCGGGCGGTTTTTAGCCTCTTTCCGGTGATCGGAATATTTGATCAATATTCCGAACGGTCAAAAGTTGCGGAAGGCCATCACGAACAACATATTGAAAAATCAGGACGATCGGACGGTGGACGGTGACGGATCGGAGAAAATAAATCCGGACGGTTTTTAGCCTCTTGCCGGTGATCGGAATCTGCGATCAATATTCCGAACGGTGAAAAGTTGCGCGATGCCAACACAAACAACCTATTGAAAAATCAGGACAATCGGACGGTGGATGACGGCAGATCAAAGAAATTACATCCGGACGGTTATCTTTGTACCTTTCCTGATTTTCACACTTTAATTTCTGTTATTTTATTTTAACCTTTTATTTTCTGTTTTTACCATTTTAATCCTTAAGGTTCTTGTTTTGCGCTTGGGTCATTTTCCATATGAGTCATTTTCATTTGCAGCTTAATACATTTTAGTCCTTAAATAGGTGTTTTTGTGTTTCTGATTTCGTCTCCATATTTTACGCGTATTCAATTTTAGTCCTGAGTGGTATTGTATTTAACTTCTGTTCTTTATACATTGAACTGTTAATTTTCGCATGTTTCATTTTAGTCCCTAGGTCAAAGTTTGCATGTTTTTAATTCTGTCTATTTATTTTATGGTTCATTTAATTTTCGTCCTAGTGTTGATTTGTTTATTTTCTGTTGTTTAGATATTTGACCTTCATATTTTTGCATGTTGCACTTTAGTCATGAGTGTGTTGGGATTTATTCTGTTTTTAGTCCCTTGCAATAGGAATAGTTTCATTTCAGTTCTTAGTATTTAATATGGTATAATACTAGCATTTCTACCTTAATTCGTATTTTATTTATAATTAGGTTATTAAAGTTTTATTTGATATCATTTAGTCCTCGTTTTAATAAATATATTTATTTTCTGAAATTTATAATTTATTGTATTATGTTTTCGTTTGTTTTGTTTAGGTCATATTTGTTCATTAAATATAACTATGTATATAGTATATATTTTTAGTTATAAAATGTGTATATAATTTTTATGGAAATGTCACATTGCATGATATTTTAAAATATTGGTTTAATTAATTTTTATATGACATCATTTTAGTATGATTTGCATGTTAGCCTCACGTGCATAAACTCAATGTATTTACATAATTTAATTAAAGGTAATATCTTTTTAATTTAAAATTATTTTAAGTGGGTTGTCTTAACTGATTAGATATCCGCTTTTAATGATTTTAAATTAAAAGTATATTCCATCAGTGACACATAAGAAATTAATTTATCGCTTTTAAAATTTGGGAACGGAATAAAAAAAAATATTCGGCTATTTAAATTTATCGAGAAAAGATAGTTAGAACTTATCTAAGATCTGGTCTCGATATTTGTAAATAATCGAATATTCTTTATCTTTCTAAAGGCCTGGTAATTTTAATTCAATCTATTTTGGGTGCTTTTGAATTTTGTAAAATTCATGTGGTGTTTTGTCGGGGATCATAAATCAAATTAAACTCGAATTTGTAAATTTCATTGCAAAGACATTAATTAATCGACAGGTACCGATTTAGGGCGCTGTGGGGGTGCTAATCATTCCCCACGCGTAACCGACTCCCGAACTCGAATTTTGGTAATGCAGACCTAAATTTGTTGTTTTAATTAAAATTAATTTTTTTTATTTAAAATGGCAAAACATTTTTGGGTGCCCAATCACACCCTAATCAAAGATTGGTGGCGACTCTTCGAACCCGTATTTTTATCGTGAATGAATTCCCAAATTTTCGAAAGAGGTTTTCTAAAATCACATTGTTTTTAATTAAAATTCAATCGTAAAGAGAATAATTAAAAATTGGTGTGGTTTCCAAAATCTCCCCCACGTTTAAAAATCGTTTCGACAGCTTGGCGACTCTGCTGGAGACTTTTTTTAGAGAGTCAGGCCTATAGTCGGTTAATTGATTGTCTTTGCAATTGAAAGTTGGAAATTCGTTTTAATTTGGTTTTTGATCCCTTGTTTGGTTTCAGTATATGTTTGTTCGGAATTTGATTAGCAAATAAATAGTTGTACTGATATGTTTGCTATTTGTTTCAGATTAATTATGTGTTTAAAGAGGATTGATTTTGGAGTGTTTTGTAATTGTGTTGTTTTATTTTCGCTTTTCCTCACACACTGC